GATGGGATCAGGTATCAGGCATCTAAGACCCAGAATAAAACCATACTCCAGGTGAATGGTGGGGGCATGGAGTGGAGACCCAATGCCCATGTGTAGACAATTGGACATCCCTTCACAGAGGGGTCAGAGGGAAGAGATGAGCCAGTCAGGGTGCAGTGTAGCACCGATGAAACACACAACTTTCCTCTAGCTCATTGGTGCTGGCTTCACCCCTCTATCATGACCTCAATTCTACCTGACAAATCAGATCAGACCACAGCATGTACACTGCTACAGATAAGAGCCCGCAACACAGGGAATCCACGACAGATAAACCCCTCAGGGCCAAGAAAGAGAGTAGAGATACCAGGAGGATTAGGAGAAAGGATAAATCAATCACAAGGATCAATGTAGAACCCCCTCCCAGGGGGACGAATAACAGAAAAGTGGATAAGGGGCAACGGAGGATGATGTAAGATATGGAAAAAATAATCTATAACTTATCAAGGGTTTGTGAGAGAGGGCGGGCGGATGGGTGAGGGAGGGTGAAGAAATGGGGAGCTGATATCAGAGGCTCAAGTGGGAAGAGGATGCTTTGAAAATGATGATGGCAGCATATATGCAAATGAGCTTGACACATGGGAGGAATGTATGAATTGTGATAAGAGATGTAAGATCCCCCAATAAAAGTATTTTAAAAATAAGAAAATAAAACCCTCATTGCCATGGAGTTGATTCTGACTCACAGAGACCCTACAGGGCAAGGTTGAACTGCCCCGTGGGTTTCTTTTTTTAAAAAATCATTTTATTAGGGGCTCATACAACTCTTATCACAATCCATATACACATCAATTGTGTAAAGCGCATTTGTACATTCATTGCCATCATCATTCTCAAAACATTTCCTCTCCACTTAAACCCCCGGCATTAGGTCCTCATTTTTCCCCTCCCTCCCCGCTCCCCACTCCCTCATGAGCCCTTGATAGTTATAAATTGTTATGTCATATCTTGCCCTGTCCAACGTCTCCCTTCACCCACTTTTCTGTTGTCCGTCTCCTAGGGAGGAGGTCACATATAGTTCCTTGTAATCGGTTCCCTCTTTCCTACCCATTCTCCCTTTACCCTCCCTGTTTCGCCACTCACACCACTGGTCCTGTAGGGCTCATTCGCCCTGGATTCCCTGTATTTCCAGTTCCTATCTGTACCAGTGTACATCCTCTGGTCTAGCCAGACTTGCAAGATAGAATTCGTGTCGTGATAGTGGGAGTGGGGAGGAAACATTTAGAAACTAGAGGAAAGTTGTATTTTTCATTGTTGCTACATCGCCCCCTGACTGGCTCGTCTCCTCCCCGAGACCCCTCTGCAAGGGGGTCTCCAGTGACCTGTTAATGGGCTTTGGATCTCCACTCCGCACTCCCCCCATCATTCACTATGGTAAGATTTTTTGTTCTGATGATGCCTTACACCTGATCCCTTCGACACCTCGTGGTTGCATAGGCTGGTGTGCTTCTTCCATGTGGGCTTTGTTGCTTCTGAGCTTGATGGCCGCTTGATTACCTTCAAGCCTTTAAGACCCCAGACGCTATGCTTTTTGATAGCCGGGCACCATCAGCTTTCTTCACCACATTTGATTATGCACCCGCTTTGTCTTCAGCCGTTGTGTCGGGAAGGTGAGCATCATAAAATGCCAATTTAATAGAAGAAAGTATTCTTGCATTGAGGGAGTACTTGAGTGGAGGCCCAATGCCCTGTGAGTTTCTAAGACTTTAAGTCCTTCCAGGAGCAAAAAGCTTCGTTTTTCTCCTGTGGCACAGCTGCTGGGTTTGAACTGTTGCCCCCTGTGCTCCTTCTGTACAGATGGATAGCCTGGTGAACCCTCTGAGGCAGGTCTACTCTGCGCTATAAGGTCAGTAAGAGTTGGAATCAACTTGACGGCAATGAGGATTTTGTTTGATTTTTATGCCTTTTCCTAAAGGAGCCCCGTGACCCAATGGTTAAGAGCTCATTTGCTAACCCAAAGCTTGGCAGTTCACGTCCACCAGCCACCCGTGGGAGAAAAGCCCTGGCCATCTGCTCCCGTAAAGACCACGACCCAGGAAACCCGGCCAAGGGGAGGGTCTTCTCTGTCTGTAGACAGAGTTGCTGAGTCAGAACGGACTCAGGGTCAAACGACATGCCATGGGCTGCCTCCCCACCTTTCCCAGGAGGGCAGACGCACTCCCCCAGAGTATATTTATTCAGCACTGGTCCCTAATCCCTCTTCTTTTAACCTAATCGGACCCAAGAAGTCTTCAGCGCACGCACGCACCTACCCTTATCCTCCGACCCCGGGAAGCGCTTTAGAGTTTAAGTTCTGGATAAGGAAACTAACACTCGGGTCAAGCCATGGGGCTTAAGGCCAGGAGAGGGAGCGTTTCCAAATGGACCCAATCCAGCTCAGAAGAACCCAGGGGCTCGAGGGACACAGGGCGAATGTGGGAGTGAGTGTACAGGAGACTGCCCAGAGGCAGGCAAGGGGTGCCAGCTCTGCCAGGCATGACCACTCCTGTGGTCTGGTAGGTGCCCAGCTGGGTGCCCCAGAAGACCTGTCCCATTTCAACCAGTTGTGTGACTCCCATCACAGCACACCTTCACGGTGGCTTTTCCCTTCGGGGAACATGGTTCTCAGTGAGGACCAGTTCATAAATTATAACCCAGTTATACTCCCATGGAGTTAATCATTTGCTTTTATTACTATTAGCGTTGCCTTGGTGATAGACTGTTAGCGGCCAGCCATATAGCTGCAGCTGAGTTGAGATTACCCAGAGAGTGGTTGTCCGGCTAGGGCCCAGCTTAGTAAACAGTTTCCCAGGAAAATGCCCTTGGTCCAGGGAAAGCAGCATTTCCGGAAAAAGAGACCAGCCAACAACCACCGCTGGCACTTTGGAAGCACAAACAGAAGGCTCATTCGTTCCCATCTGAGAGAGGTGTTCTTTTCCTGCCGGGGACATGAGCTGACCCTTAATCTTTAGAGATAATGTCCATGGTATGTTTTAAACGGGACATGCTGAGCCACAACCTGATGTCCCTGAGCACACAGTGGCTTCCCTGGCCTTCACACCCCGGCAAGGAATGCCTGACAAAGTGAAATGCAGGCCTGGTCCTTGGCTGGGGCTGCAGCTGGTTGTCCCTGCTTCCCCACACCCACCCGCCAGCCCCTGGCTCCAGGGGAAGCAGTGGGAGGTGGCTATTTTGAGCCATCTATGGCTGTTAGGGCAGACTGGGGTCCTGGGGCTGGGTGATCTTCGGGCCTGAAAACCACTCTGTGGGGAAGGGGTGGGGGGAGACCATGACATTTCCTCCGGTTATAAAAACTACTTAAATCAGCTATTCAGTTAACAGGAGCTAATTTAAAGACCTTTCCATGTGTCTGCAGAAAATTTGTGGGCTTATTAATAGGCTCATTCTGCTGGTAAATGTCGATGGGCTTCCGACCATCAAACACACTTATATGAGGGGAGAAATGATGACCAAAAAACAAACAAACAAAAAAAACTGTCTGTTACCCAGAAGCCATGCCTCTCTGACTCATCACGGACTCCAGCTCATCCAGGAAAATGGTGGAGGGTGCATGATAGCGGGCAAGTTCAAATAACACCTGGGTAGAGAAAGAGCAAGATCATAGCCTAAAGGCTTCAGATGGTCCCAGTGATTAAAAGCTTAGAATTAACGTAATGTTAAGCATTTGTGTTGTCCTCGAGTCCCCACCCCCACACAATAACTTTATAATCATTAGCATTATTTCTCCTTAGCAGCACCCCATGGGAGCAGATAGGCCGATTGCTTCCATTCATCACTTGATAAAATCAGAGCCAGCGAGAGAGGAAGCGGTGGTTCAAGGTTACTCGCCTTCAATGAGAGAGCCTGAGCTACACAACCCTCTACCCAAGCTTCCAGGGGGTTGGCTAACCCTGGAGACACCCTGCCAGTGACACATTCCCTAAGGGCAGGAAGCCTCGGAATGTGTGAAAATCAGTTGATGGCTTTCCCTTAGCCTTTGGGGACAAGGAAGGAACATTGGTAGAGAAAGGACCAGAAGAACGGTACCCCTTTCTGCTAGCCAAGTCACTCTGGTCTCCATGCTACCCTGTGTCCTGGTGTGTGGATGAGTCTTCAGGCTAATTCCCCACTGAGTAAGATAGTTCATTTCAAAACACCTGTTACAGACTGCACAAGAACAGAGGACGACCAGCAAAAGAACAGATATATAAAAGAGAACAGATACATAAAACAGAACAGGTACATAAAACAGAATAAAAAGCCCCCGAGGGAGAAGTGGTGGTGATGAGAAGGGTATAAAAACCTAAAGCTGTTTGCTGCTGTTGTTTTTAACCCTGAAACTGATCTCCTGAGCACCGTATACAATCCTTGATTGGCTGAGCAGAGAAAGCAGCCGAGATTTGAAAAGGAGCAGAGGTTCTTTAATAGGCATCGGGGATTTCGCCTCGGTTTCACTTAGCAGAGCGGCACAGAACAAAAAGGGAAGGGAGGGCTCAGGGAGGGCCAGGCTGTAGCTCTCGTGAGCAGGAGCACGCTAGCCCTGCAGGGAGGGCTCAGGAAGGGCCAGGCTGTAGCTCTCGTGAGCAGGAGCACGCTAGCCCTGCAGGGACGGCTCAGGGAGGGCCAGGCTGTAGCTCTCGTGAGCAGGAGCACGCTAGCCTGCCAGGGCTCTCTGTCCCCGACAGACCGCCCTCACGTTCACCACTGCTGACAAGCCTGGTGCAGACCTGCTCGTGCGCGAGCACCTGCTGGTTGCAGAATTCTGGTTCAATCACCCTGGGACGACTGGCGCAGCCTCGTGAACTGTAAAGGTCAGTGCCAACACTGAGGGGTTCGTGGCCAAAGCCTTTGAGACACGATAACCAGCAGGTTATTTGGGAAGTAGATCGCTGGGCCTTTCTCCCAGGCCCCTGAGGATGGTCTCAAACTTCACTGGTCAGCAGTCAAATGCACCCACCATTTGCACCACCCAACGACTTCTTTCAGGCACAGTAGGAACCTTCGAATTAGTAGCAGGTTCTTTTTCTGCCTTATCACACAAAAGAAAAGCCGAAGTCCCAATTGGAAAACACTCATATGGGTCAACAGACAAACCTGGAACTATCATTTTATTTATTTGTTTGTTTTCTTTCGCCCAATGTCTATCTATATAAGATAGGTAGGGCAAACAATCCCAAGAAGAAAACAATGGGACCAGCTGTCCCGGGGGCGGGGGAGCTTGTAGCCAACAAACTCAGGGATAAGGGAACAACAAGAGATCTAAAATTGATGGCAAGGAGGGTATATAATGCCTGGTAGGGTTTGATCAAATGCAATGTATCTGAAAGGAAATGATGAGAGTTGAGTGGAGGGTGAGCATGATAGTGGGACAGGAGGAAGGTGAAAGGAAATAGAGGAAAGAAGTAAGAGGCAAAGCTACTTACAGAGGTATAGCTATAGGCATGTATATATGTAAATATATTGATTTATAATGAAAGGGACAGAGGCCAATGTACATATATTTATATGTTAAGTATTAAGATAGCAGATGGACTTTGAGCCTCTGCTCAAGGCCTCCCTGAACACAAGAACACTTTGTTCTCATAAATGACACTCTTTGATACTCACCTTCCTGACACAATCGCTGAAGACAAAATGAGTGCATAAGCAAATGTGGTGATGAGAGCAGGTGGTGCCCAGCTATCAAAAGATGCAGCATCTGGGGTCTTAAAGGCTTGAGGTTAAACAAGCAGCCATCTAGCAGGGAAGCAACAAAGCCCACATGGAAGAAGCACACTAGCCTGTGTGATCATTAGGTGTTGACAGGATCAAGTATCAGGTATCAAAAGATCCAAAACAAGCAATTATATGGATATGAAAGAGGGGGGTTGGAGTGGAGACCCAAAGCCCATCTGTAGACAACTGGACATCCCTCACAGAAGGGTTACAAGAAAGGGATGATTCAACCAGGGTGCAGTATAGCACCGAAGAAACAAACATCATTCCTCTAGTTCCTGGATGCTTCCTCCCCACTACCACGACCCAGTTCTACCTTACAAATCTAGCTAGACTGGAATATACACATTGGTACAGATAAGGGTTCTCGACACTTGAAATTCAGGACAGAAAAACCCCTCAGAAACAGCAGTGGGAGTAGCAATATCACAAGGGTAGGGAGATGGTGGTGGCAGGGGCTGGGGAAGGAGGAGAAAGGAGGAACCCATCACAAGGTTGGATATGTAGCACCCCCAGGGGGATGAATCACAGAAGTGGGTGAAGGGACACAATGGACAGTGTAAGACACGAAATAACAACAATAATATGTAATTGATCAAGGGTTCACGAGGACGTGAGAGTGGGGGAGGGAAGGGAAAAAAAGAGGAGCTGACACCAAGGGCTCAAGTAGAAAGAAAATGTTTTAGACATGTTGGTGGCAACATATGTACAAGTGTGCTTAATACAGTTGAATGCTGGATTGATAGAAGATTTGTAAGAGCCCCCCCCCCAATAAGATGATTTTTTTTTAAAAGAAAGAAAAGCCAAAGTCGGACTAATGTTCAGATGATGACAACAGCACCCATCTTTCCATGACAAATGGGAGACGAGGCTCCCTCTGCGTACGGTTTTCAAGGAGCTGTGTGCAGAGAGACGAAGACACTCGACAGAAGTCGTACAGCGAGAGAAGCACATCTGAACTCCGGGTCTCCTTACGAGCTCAACCGCAACAGGCCACCCACCACCACCCAGGCCCCTGTTCTCCCCACTCCCTGAGAAGAGGTAAGTGCTTCTGGAAGCATTAGTCTAAAATTTTCAAAAGTACTTGGAGGAAGTTAAATCATACAATGTTGAAATAAGTAAGCATCAACAGGTGCGTGCATTTAGTAAAGAGACCACTCAACTATTCGATAGCTATCCCCTCCTAAGAGGCATGAACATTAGGAGAGGAGGGAGCAACAAAACCCCAGGGTTCCCTATAAATAACTCTTTAATTGGAACGGCAAGAGAAGCAAATGGTGGGAAGGCTTCTGTGATTTAGGGGAAGGTCCAGGAGGGCTGTCTTCCCTGAAAGCTGCGCAGGAAGGAGCGCCACAGCCTGATGGAGATCTTCCAGGTGAGTGATTTCATCGCAGTGATTCCAAATGTCCAGAAAGGAGGGAGAAATACACTTATGTCTACGAGGACAACCTCAAGGTCAGCGGTGGGGATGGGCTTTCTTGCTGAACTGTCTTTTTTCACAAGTCCCAAACCATGTGTTTGCTAGAACAGGGAACTACAGATGTCATCTAAGCCTATACAAAGATACTCAAGTGCATTCAGAATTTGAAAATGTTCACATCCAAGTACAGAAAGGCTACTTTTCCCCGAGGGAGTGGCAAAGATCAAACTGTTTTTCGCTAACACAGCGTGGGCCACGGCACAAGGAAAGAAAGACACCCGCCCCCTGATGATGGGAGCAGAGAGTGGCGTAAACCTGTCGGAAGGCAATTTGGCATCATTGATGTACATTCCCTCTGACCCAGCATTGCTATTCCAGAGAAGTGACCCAACACTAAATATGTGCAAAAGGCATGTGTATGTACAAGTGTGTACACTACAGCCTATTCATAACACGAGAAAGCAGGATCAGCATAAATGCCCAGCAGGAAGACTGGTTAAAAATGAGAACACTAGATAAAAACACTCGGGCCACTGACATCGAGTTGATGCCGACCCACAGCACCCCAGAGGAAAGGGTAGAACTGCCTCGGTGGGTTTCTGAGATTACCTTTTGACTGGACTAGAAAGCCTCGCCTTTCTCCTGGTTAAATATACAACCAAACCAAATTCATTGCCACCGAGTTGATGCCGGCCCATAGTGACCCTCTAGGGCAGGGTCGAACACTGCCTCTGAGTTTCTGAGACCGCAACTGCTACAGGAGTAGGAGGCCCCGTCTTCCTCTTACCAGTTAAATACAAGAGTGCTTCACAAAGTTCACGGGAAATTCCATTCTCTTTTTTTCACCAATTTTCTAAGTCCCTCATGTATTTTTGGTATACTCATGCAACCAAACATCAGGTAGACATATCAAAGGCATGTTCTTTCCATTTGTAATCATGAGTCATAATGTCCAAGATAACTGGGAAAGAAGCAAGAGGTTTCCTACAGGTATTTACTATGGAAGGGAAATGGATTTTCACTCAATTCACAATTTAAAAAATTTGACTTTTTTTAAAGGGAGAGTTATGAGTCTAGCTGTTGGTACACTGTTCTTGGTGTCAGGTACCATGGAGTTGCCTCCGACTCATGGCAACCATTAGTACCCTCACGGCACAGCCAAACAAAACGCTGCCAGGCCCTGCACCGTGCTCACAATTGTATTTGAGCTCGTTGCCGCAACTGTGTCCATCCATCCCATCCAGGATCTTCTTTTCCGTTGCCTCCAGGGACTGGTCTTTCCTGATAAGGTGTGCAAAGCACGTGAGATGACGTCTTGCCACCTTCAATTCTCATGAGCCTCCTCGCCGTGCTTCCTCTGACGGCTCGCAGTGCTCTCAATATTCGTCACCACCGTAACTTAAATTCTTTTCTAGTCTGCCTTATTCAAATTGTCCAGCCTTCGCATGCACATGAGAATCAGGAGCACCTTAATCCTCAGAGTGAAATCTTTGCTTTTTAAAACTTTATGGCGGTCTTAGGCAGTAGACTTACCCAAGGCAACATGTCACTTGATTATCTGACTGTGACTTTCATGAGCCTTGGTTACAGATCCAAGTAAAATGAAATCTTCGGCCACTTCAATCTTACCTCCGCTTATCATGACGTTACCTCCTGGTCCAGTTGAGGATTTGTGTTTTCTTTACATTGAGTTATAATCCATACTTAAGGCTGCAGTCTTTGATTTTCATCAGCCACGGCTTGGAGCCTTCCTGGCTTGCAGCAAGCAGGATGGTGGCATCTGCATATTGCATGTTGTTCATGTGCCCTCCTGCAACCCTGATAGCATGTTCTTCTTCGTATAGTCCAGCTTCTTGGAGTTATTTGCTCAACATACAAACTGAATAAATACAGTGAAAGGATGTAACCCTGACCTCCACCCTTCCTGATTTTAAATCACGTAGTATCCCTTCTCCCAAGTTCTCAGGCCATGCACAGGTTCCATGTGAGTACAGAAGTGTCTTGGAATTCCCATTCTTCACAATCCATTATTTATTATGATCCACACAGTCAAATTCCTTTACCTAGTCAATAAAACACAAGTAAACACCTTTCAGGTATTCTCGGCTCTCACCCAAAATCCATCTGGCAGCAGCAATGATATTCCTTATTGCACATCCCCCTTTGAATGTGATTTGAATTTCTGGCAGCACCCTGTTGATGGGCCGCTACAACTGTTCCTTAACTGTCTTCTGAAAAATTTTACTTCTTTGTAACATTAATGATATTGTTCAAGAATTTCTGCATTCACATGGAAAGTTGACCCAACAGTTGTTGATATCAATATAGATAAATGTTCCAAATAGTAGTTTTCTCTGGGGATAGGGTTAGGGTTAGTAGATATACCCTTGTATACTGCCCCCCGCTACCCCTGCCAAACAGGCTTTTTAAATCTATGTAAAAGAGAGAAATTGGGGTGGGGATTATTTCCTTACATTTAGAATTTTAACAAAATAATACTGGTGGAGAGGAAAACTTTAACTAAATAAAAGGTTCACACAAAATGGAGAATTCTTGTTAAAAGAAGTTTTCAACGATTCAATATTAACCCAGATACTCTAAACTCAATTTTCCCTGACAGGAGATGAATCTAAACTGATTCTGGGGAATCTGCTAAGAGATTTGTTGTTATTCAGCACACAGATATAGATATATATCAGCTGAGGCACCTAATTTTACCATAAAAATTGCATTAAAAATGTGCTGAAAAACTCGGCTTATAAAAGAGTATATATATGCGATATATATATAAAGTCTTCTAGCTGTTAAGAAGTTTAGTTAGTTGGTTTTCAGTCCATTGAAATCCAGGTAAGTCAGTGGTTCTCAACCTATGGGTCGCAACCTCCCTTTGGGGGTTGAACGACTCTTTCACAAGGGTCGCCTGATTCATCACAATAGCAAAATGACAGTTATGAAGCAGCAACGAAAATAATTTTATGGTTGGGGGATCACCACAACATGAGGAGCTGTATGAAAGGATCGTGGCATTAGGAAGGTTGAGAACCACCGAGCCAAGTAGTATCATATGGGTCCCACAAATCCAGAACAGCTAATCCAAGAGTCACTCAGGTCGGGTAGCTAACCACAAGGCCAGCAGTTTGAACCCACCAGCTGCTCTGAGGAAGAAAGATGAGGCTTCCTAGTCTTATAATGATAGATAGCCCTGGAAACTCACAGGAGCAGTGTGCTCGGCCCTGCAGGGTCACCATGAGCCAGGAGTGACTTGGTGGCAGTGGGCGAGCCCAAGCACATCTCTGGACCTGTCCCTGGACTGGACTCAAGCTGAAGCACAAGGAAATAAAGGATGTCAACATAGATTCTCATGAACTGAAAATGGAAGGGCTGTAAGAATTTATAAAACACATTTGAAAGAACTTGCAAACAATTTCAAAGTAATAAAGAATAGGTTAGTGTAGACAAATCAAATCTTTAAAAATATTTTCCAAAGACTTCCAAATACAGCACATTCTTTTTAAAAGAAATCATCAAAGAAAATCTTAATTTAAGCATTATATTTTAGGGTGATTTTTTCACAAAAATAAAGTACTTTATATTCAACTTAGTATATCATTCTACAGTGGACCGCAGTTGGACAAGATGGCTGAGAAGCATCTGCCGGACGCATTGAGCCATCCATCGTAAGTAGGTACACCCTTAAAATGACTGGAAGCTACGTGACATTTTATCATGAATAAGATGTCACACATTATGGCTGAGCCACTATAGAGATGGAAACAATCTCGTAGGGAGGTAAAGAACCAACAGGCTCTGGGCACTCTAGGGAAAATGTTGCTCAGAGCATCGGAAAGAAGAATTACATTTTAAGTTTCTTGATTCTTCCTTAAGTACCTAGGACAGGGACCGGCAAACAGTAGCCTCTCAGTAAATGTGAAAAGAACGCACTGCACCTCCTTAATAATAAATGCCTCTTGACTACAGAAAAGGATAGGCTACTTAGGAGACTTTTTCCAGCTTCCATTCCTAAGTTACACGAATCAACAAAAAAAGGACAGTTGGTCAAATTCCCCAAGGGAGAGAGATCATGTTTTGCTGAGTAAGACGTGATGAATATCCACACAAAATGGTCCATCCACTTCCTGGGCTTTTGGTAATCAAGGTCTAGGTGAAAATGTAACATATCAATCACATACTGAAAAATGATCTCAACAATAATTTTGCATCACTGTGTTCTCCTAGAGCTGAATTTTGAAAAGCAAAATCAAGAATGCCTACCCGAACGAGTTTTTCTGAATCCCCTCTCCATTTGCTGACGATGGTGGATGCAGAAATATTAAAGAAGGTTGTCTTACATTCGGTGGCCACAGCTTTGGCCAGTAAAGTCTTTCCTGTGCCTAGAGACACATGTGGATAAAATATGAGCAGGTAATTAAACTCTGTACCTCCACTTAAACTTATCAATTTCAGTCTCATCGATGAAAGAGGAAGTGAACCCCCTCCAATTGCAGTCCAGTCAACTGCGACTCCTCGTGACTCCCCAGGACAGCCTAGAACTGCTCCCAGAGGGCCTCCCAGGGGTCTAAAGGCGGACTGCCACATCATTCTCCTGCTGAGCTGCCCATCTCTCCGCTAGCATGGTGCACAGTACTAACCACTGTACAATCAGGGTCCCTTGACCTGAGCATGGATGGGGCCAACTCATCTTTGACAACACGTACTGCACACCGTGATGAAGAGAGAAGGGCATCTTTACCTGGAGGGCCGTAAAGCAGTAGTCCTTTCCAGGGGGAAAGAATCCCCGTGAACAGTTGTGGGTACTATGGAAACAATAAACAATGATGAGCTTTGGTCTCAATACTCCATCTTCTGTACCTTTACCATGAGCAAACGTGCAAGCATAGAACGGAGAACAAATCTTTCTCTTTTTCTATCCCAGGTTGACTTTCGCACCAGATAAAATGGTCTGGCTGGATCTGTGTGGCCTTTTAAAAGAGTTGTATATGCATAAAAATACACATTTTTAGTATATGTATATATGAGAGAGAGAGAGAGAGAACGCACAACACTTGGCAATTCAACATTTTTCAGGTCTGTAATTGATATCAATTATATTCATCATGTTGTACAACTAGCCCCCATAAACAAACTAAAAGCCTAACTTTTCCAACATCGTAACCAGAAATTTAAAAAGAGAAAGATCATATCCAAACCAGGGCACTATGTGACATATGAATTCTATGTTAATAAAACATAGTTAATATGTCCAAAAAGAAAAGTGTATGCAGGTCCTTTTCCTCTCTGCTGCGATAGTCTTACCTGACTAACAGCACTGCTCCCCAGTCTCCGTGCAGAGCATTTGGCATTCTTTTTAATGTAGTAAAGGTGGTACTAACTTTAAGATAAACACTGGTCAGCAAACAAGGGTGTATCGGAACAAACAGAGCACAAGCTAGGGTGAAGCCGGTTTTAGAAGTTGGGATCATGTAGTGGCAAACGCATTATGAGACACTGACTCCAATGAGGCATACATGGGCTTCAGTGAGTCTCTCTCATTAGTTCAAGTTCAACCCGTCTGAGACATGGGCAGGGTTGGTAGAGAACAAGAAAGAAAACAAGAGTAAAATCAAAACCAGCTATTCAATTCTTGCTAATGCTGAGGTCAAAACTCAACACCATTACAACACAGAGCTTACAATACTGTGGAGATAAGTCTATCCTTTAAAAAATATTATATGCTGGGTTCACTTAGAGGAAATGGTGATGATGTTAAGGGGTCCATATAGAAAAAGAATGTTTGGAAACTGTTGTGATAGCAAATATACAATTCTGCTGGACATGATTGAACTATGGAATGATTTGATGGATGTATTAACCCCAATTAATAAAAAAAATAGAGGACATGGTGAGTAACTATTAATTCTGAACAGCATCATATTTCTTATCCTCCTGTCTGAATACTGAAAGGAAGAGGGGGCAGGAGAATAATCCAGATTTAATATTTTTGTCTCCTTAGGAGAACCTGAAAACCAGGGGAATCGTGGACTCAATGGTAAGCATATATAGGTCATTCTGTAAAATAAATGTGTTTCTACTAACTGAGGAAGATTATAGAAAATGGCCACAAACTATCTGAAGCTTCTCCCATCAAAAAGTGAAGTCTATTTCTCTACGTCTTAAATCTGGATGGGCTATATGACTCGCTTTGGCCAACGGGTTATTAGCAAATATAAGACTTTAAAATATAAGACAAGCAAATATAAGAGGAGGCTTGAACACTGCCATAAGAAATGGGCTTTGTCTTTTCGTGTGTGTGTGTGTGTGTGTGTGTGTGTGTGTGTGTGTGTGTGTATAAGATTGGGCTGGCCCACTGGAGGATGTGAGACCACATGGAGAGAGGTCTCAGCTCCACCTAGCCTAGCTGATGCCCTGGACATGTGAGCCCA